TTAAAAAGAAACTCTCGTTTGTAAAATAATTACAAAGAAAAATCTATTTTTGCAAATGAACCACGTGCAAATCATTTCGGTCAACGCAAACCATTCAAACCCCTACATTGCACAAATTACAATCGCATGGGTCATGTTTACGATTTTTGTTTTGACCATATCAGTGCACAAAATACGCCTAAACAGGTTCATAACCCTAGGGCCTTGGATTTACATGATTGGGGTCATGTCCTAAATTTTAGTGGTACCAAAATGATTTGGGTACCAAAATGAGTTTCATGTCATTTTTTTTGTTTGTTTTGTTTTTGTTTTGAGTGAATTGGTTCTTAAGCTCAAATGTTAATTATTATTGTTTTTAAGCTCAAATAAAATAAATTCATGATTTAAATAGCTAAGAACTGCTTATATATTTATAATATCCATAAAACAAATCTTTATTAAAGTCCAAATTGCATTTCTCTCAAAAACCATATTTTAAAATAATTTTGCTGTTATTTTTCTCGCGGTCGACCGCCACGGTCGACCGTAAATGTTTCTGTGATTGTCACGGTCGACCGCCACGTCTCGGTCGACCGCCATAGTCGACCGCAAGAGAATTTTCCTATTTCCTGTTTGATTTCTTATCGGGTTTTGGTTTTTGTTTAATATTGTTTCTAAACCCGATTTATCTGTCACTGTTGATTTCATCCTTGAACCGATCTGAGCCGCTCCTTCTTCATCTCAATAAACCCGACCCTCTTCATCTACCCCTATTCGAAAACTTCTCCTCACGGTCGTCCATAGTTTGCCATTGATCGACCGCGGTCTTCCTTGAGGCCATCTCTTCATCAATTTCAGTTGGAAATTGATTGGGTAATCTCTTCTCTCATCTTTTGATTTCTTTTCCTGCTCTAAAGTTTCAATCTTTCAATTCTAGGGTTTCGATTTAGGGTTTGTTCATTTGTATTTCTTGTTGCTCTTATCTTTAGAACATGCCTCCTAAGAAGAGATCTAAGCCTGATGCTAGTTCCTCATCTTCCATTGCATCCCATTATGAGGATTTTCTACTGTTCAAACCCTTAATTAAAAAGTATAGGGAACTTTGTAAGTTGAAAACTCTATCTAGTAGATATATAAAATATGAGGAATTAGCTATCTATAACATTCATGAGATTCTACATGCTGTCGGGTTGGATAAACTGTTAGATGTGGAACGTAAGGTTCCGTATTACCCATTTCTTGTTTATCTGTTTTATGCAAATCAGTCTGTCACCACTTCTGTCGATGGTATTCAAACCATCACCACATTTGTTAAGAACATTCAGATCTCATTTTCTGCTGACGAGCTTGCGGGAATCCTTAAGATCCCGTCAAGTGACGTTGAGCTCATGTCTATCGATCACACCGATCAGGCTGTGAACGATTCTATGTTTAAGCCCGGTTGCACCTACCTATGAACAACAAATCAATTAATCCTACTACTAAAATCATTGCTCGTATTGTTGCTCAAAATCTTATTCCTAAGACCGGTAGCTTTGATCATTTTGCCCCTGATAAGGTTAATGCTGTTTATGCCATCTTTGCCAAACTAAAAGTGAATTGGGAAAATGTTTTTCTTAAGAACATGGCATGCAAGCATTACAAATTTCTTCCCTTTGGCTGCTTCATCACCCTCATTCTCCAACACTTCGGTGTTGCTCTTACCAATGAACCCAAAGTTGATCCGGGGAAGGAATACTTTGATAGAGTCTCTCTCTCTCGTTTGTAAATTTCTGACTCCTTATCTGATCCTGCTAAGCCATCATCTTCCCATTCTCGGTCTAGAGCTTCCACCTCCTCCACTTCTGATATCTGTGCTCGATTGGATCATCTTGAGACTCGGGTCTCAACTATTCAGAAGGACGTTAGGACCATTCTCAGTTATCAGCGTCAGTCTCTTGGGATTCCGGATCCATCTTCCAGTTCTGATGAGGGGTCTGATGAAGGATCTGCTTCTGGCTCTGGTTCGGGATCTGGCTCCGGATCTGATGATGGTGGTGATTGACTCGTTGATTATTGGATTTTATGCATATGGTTATGCTTATGTTTTGGTGAACAAAAACTTGATACTTATGTTTTGTTTTGAGTTGTAATAACTCTATTGTTTGTGTGGAAAACTATGTAGTATTGTGGAACAAATTGTGTATGGTTTGTGTGGAAAACTATGTAGTATTGTGGAACAAATTATGGTTATGTTTGCTCGTGATTTTATTTTGGTTTTTTAATGATGCTTTGTGATTGATTTGGTCTGTAAATTTCAAATGTTTATGGTTGTATATGGATGGATATGGTTGCTTAGCTCCTATATATGATCTTTATAGGTCATTTATGCAAATTGACAGGGGGAGCTTTGACCATATAATTGTTTATTATCTGTGCTTGAATGCAAGGAGAGCGTTGCTCCTATTTATATTTTTCCCCTTTTTGATGTTGTCAAAGGGGGAGAAAATCTTCATATTGATGTTCATGTGGTTTATTCATATTCATGTTATATATGTTTGGTTTATATGTGGTTTATCAACATGTACTTCATATCTAGTTTATTTGTGGTTTATCAACATGTACTTCATATCATTAAATAAATTGTTTGCCATCATCAAAAAGGGGAAGATTGTTGGCCCTATAGTTTTGATGATGATTTATTAAATAATTTATAGCTAATATGTTTTCTAGTTCTCGTTGTTTGGTTTTTCTGTTTTTAGGTAATTCAACACACGACAATTAAGAGTTGAAGATTCAAGTTCATGCGTGTGCATTCACCTAGGTATAAATAATGTATGCATGATATATATATACGTATTTACAAGTCATATCTCAATTTTCATGTTCACGAAAAATAGGTTTTTCTGAACACTTTTCAAAAACAGGGATTTTTCACAAACGAAAATTGATTTTCCAAAATTTCCTTTTCAAACATGTTTATTTCATCATTTAGAAAATTTCTCTAAAGTTTTACTATTTTTGGAATTGATTTGATATTTTTAATGTATTTTCAAAATCAGCCCAAAACCTGTCATATGCCATGTATCAGTTTGCGGTCGACCGCCACGGTCGACCACCAGCAGCAAACTTTCTTAGTATGGCTCTTATATGCTCACGGTCGACCGTGACGGTCGCTCTTATATGCTCTTATATGCCATGATCAGGCAAAGCTTTCAACCCTTATTCTCAGCCCTGTGTTGTACCTGCGGCTTTCCACGGTCGACCGCCGATCTCATCATTGCCTTTTAACGGCTATTTTCTACAATGGCTGTCTGAGGCTATTTTGGTCTTTTCTAGTTGGTTTTAGCTGATATTTTGAGTGGGTATAAATACCTCATTGCTGTTCTCTTTCAAAATATATCAAGAGTTTGTTTTTACATAAGTTTTAACAAGAGATTAAGAGTTGTTTAAGAGCTGTTTAAGCTGATTTCCTTAATCTGTTCTAAGAGAAGTTTTCTACAACAAGAAGAAGCTTTCAACTCCTATTTGGGATCATCATCTACTGTTCTTCTTGTTTATTGAGAAGTTTCCTAAACTCTTTCTTATATAACTTATTGATTCATTTTCATAACATAGCTATATTTTATTAGAGTTGCATATTATCTATTCACTGTTATCACACACATAATATTGAGCTTAATATTTTCATACTATATAGTGTGGGTTGTGGGGTGTGATTTAGTGAGTGTGAGCTTCATTGTGTTCTCATTTGTTATCGAGAAGAAATCATTTTATTTAATCATTGTTGTGAGTATCACTTGTAATACACTTGTACACCAAGAGAAGTATGAGGCGTTAGATGGGGTCGAATCTAATAGGAGTGGTGTCGGTTGATGAACCTAGGGAGAGGTTGCATCCGAGCACTTGAGGAGGAGGACACGGGCTATGTTCCTACACTTAGTGTGTAAAGTGTGATTGCATAGTGTGAGAGTTTTCGGTAAACTTGTAAACCGAGTGTGTAGAAGTTCCGGCTTCCAAACCGAATTGTGATAGTGGAGATCTCCTCGAGGTGAGGAGCGGGGATGTAGGTCGTGGTGACCGAACCTCGTAAACATATCGTTTGTTTGTGTTTTGCTTAACGTATTTTTTATTTGTGCTTATTCATATCATTCTTGCTCATATCTATCTTATATCATTCTTGCAAGAACAAATTAATTAATATAATTTTAATTGGTATTTAATCAGGATTAGATTAGCATAAGACCCTAATCACCCCCCCCCCCCCCTT